AAAGAACAAACCTTGAATATTATCAAGTTCATATCAAAATATAATATAACCAAAAACTTTAGTTTGATTAACATTATATAATGTAAGAACAAACCAATTTTTTATTGTAAATATTAACAAATTTTTATATAAAACACAAGTAAAAACAAAAATTGTAGTTTTCAATAAACAAAATCAACAAGTACCACAGAAAATGTTATCTAAGTCCCTGTAACAAGTGTCAAAAACTCAAAAATCAAGGCATAATATTAATAAACTATACCTACTTTTTAGTTTTTAATACAGATATAAATACCTTTTACTTGAAGATATTAATGTGTTATAACAGAATATTTTTGGAACACTTTTAAATAAAAATAACTAATATTTAACAGTTAATTGGGCATACAAGTATAAAAAATATTGGAGAAATTTTCTTGAAAATTTGAATTTATTATTCTTTTCTTCAAAAAATATATAATTGGTAAGCAATAAATTGAATGATTACGATTATACTCCATTTCTATTAAAAAGGAACCTAGGAAACAATCAGTTTTGTTGGGTTCGGACTATTCAAGTCAGACATCATCGTCTGTGAGCCGATGTTCCTGCTTAACGTTAATGTGCAATAATATTCTAAATTTCAATATTATTTTTTGACTAAATAAAGCTTTATTTTTGTAAAATGTTTAACTTTTACATAATAAGTAACAAATTAATAAAAACTAATATAATAATTATAAAAAAAAAGTGGATAAGTGGATGTCGCTCTGCTGTACATTAGGCCATGGGGTGGACTTAGGTAGGTTATATTTGAATGCAATGATAGGTATCATTGTATACGAAAAACGATTCTGAACGGAGATGATTTGTCAGTCTAGGATATATTATATTTAAATATTGTCATATATTCTATATTGAAACAAATATATTATTTTTCAATTAGGACGCATTTTGAATAAGGCATGGTTAATCAATTTTTCAATTTTTCAAATTTTTCAAACAAGAACAACTCATAAGGAGCCTTGTATTAAATTTTCAAGTTTTTTTGGTCATCCAAAATTTTTTTACCGACACTTCAACAATTTTTTTGAAAATTAAACTGTATATAGTTAACACTAACATAAACATTTGGTGAAAATTTCAAGTATTTACAGTGATTAGTTTTTGAATTACAACCATAAAATCGATTTGGTCAAAAACTGGTTTTGCGTAAAAAACTAAAAATTCCCGTTTTTCTGTCATTTTATTTTTTGTTTTTCTCGATTTTTTTAAAAACTGTTGGAAAATGTTTAATTTTGACCTATATAATGCACCAAGGATATTCACTTTTACATCAGAAATCACCCCCCAAAGTTTGAAATTGAAGCATTATTTCGACTAGTTATGCTGTACACAGACACAAAAAAAAAACACATCATTGTAAAATCAATACATTCATCACTCTGTTCAGAGTCTAATAGAGAACAAATATTCACTGCAACATAAAATAAATATGTTAAGGTAGGTCTCGAATGTAAAATAACAATAATAGTTGAAAATTAAAATATATATATATACAWTGTTAAATTTGAGTAACATTGTTAAGCASCTGACTTATGTGCAGGGGCATAACAATACTACACGACAAATAGTTGACCAGGTGGGAATCACAAACAAGTGTTAACTGCCTGCAGACCGATGAAAAATCAGATCAGATTATAAGTATTTTTTTCTCATAATAAATAAAATATTCCAAGATATGTTAAAGAAAATAAATATTACTTAACTCCTAAAATATTTAAAATAACCTTTGGTAAATTCTGTGTTCAATTGTCCACATTTTTTACTCTTATATTATAAGTATCAGTAGTGATAATGATATCTAAAAGAGAACTGGGCCCTACTTATAATAAATAAATTGTTTATTATTAATGAATATGAACGTTGAACTAAACTAAAAAGACWAAAACGCACTTCAAAATAATTTAATGAATAAAATCTATCTAGATAAACGGGAGTAGCATAACATGATCATTAAAAATAATAGAACAAATAATTATTTTTTACAACTTTATAATATAGTTTATGGCTTTTTACAAGAATAGACACAATTTATAACTATTTCAATATATTATAATAATTAATAACACATTAAACAAAAATCAAACACGATTATATAATATGTTTTGAAACAATGAATTATAATAAATTAAAAATTAAAAAAGCGGGTAAGTCGTAGATG